AAAGAACCGTCGCCTGGCGCATCGTTAAAATATGAAGAAGTGAAATGTGCGATATTCTATTCGATCACTTCACAACCAGGCTTATCTGGAATAGATCTAGGAAACTTTCTGATTAAGCAAGTGGTACGAGAATTGCAAGCAGAATTTGAATCCATAGAAATCTTTTCGACATTAAGCCCGGTGCCAGGCTTCCGGCAGTGGTTAATGAATGCGATCAACATTGAAGGCGAAAAGATGTTGGAAGACGATGAATCAACTAACCTTAAAAAACTGGAGCGACCTGATCTTGAGCTTGTTAAAAAGAATAACGGGGCTAGAATTTTGGGTGAATTAGTTAAAAGAAAAGGTTGGTTTGACGATCCTGAACTTGTCAAAGTGATGAAACCCATTTTGATGAGGCTTTGCGCAAGGTAGATTTATTAGTTTTTGCCGTTCTACTTGAATGACTCATAATAACCTTTTGTAAATATTATTTATAAGATATATAATTAGAGAAAAACACAGACATGCAGCACTCGATCCTGTTGGTAAGATCAAACATCTTTGTATAACATAATAATAATATGAATATGTGTATTGTGATATTGTTTTATCAGATATTTTCGACGCACTTGTTAATATCTAATTTTTTTTCTTCCAAATAAAAACTTTTCTATCCTGTCAAATTCCATTTAATCTGAAGCAAACTTCCATATTCGCAACGGAGCTTGTGTTTACAGGTTAAATTGGCTAGGAGATAAATCAGGTAGGATACTTACTTTTCTAAGGAATATAAAAACTGCATGCCATTTCTCTGACATATATCTTCTTATGCACCATGATAACGGTAATTCTTTAACATCATCATCAAAAGTAAAAAGAATCAAAGAATCGCTTGGGATAATGGTGAATTATAACTATATATTAAAAGATATTGAAGATAATAACAAACAATATTTAAGTAATTACACCATAACCATTTCCGGAGAAGATCCCATACTTTCCAAGGAAGCAAAAAAATCACCAAATGTTAGAATAATTTACGAGAATAACAATTCAAGTCAACCGTAAAAATGGTCTACAAAATTGCTTTAATAATTTAGTAATTTAGATATTAGATGTTTTATAAATACAACGTACGTTAATGTAGTATTAAAAGGATACTGTATATTTATTTGTTTAGAAAGTTCATAAATCAATATACACATTATTATTTTTATATGTAAAAAAAAAAAAGTTTTTAGTTATAATAATAAACATTAATGTTAAATTAGTACTAAGGACATTTATTATTATTGTTTATTGCAATTAACTAGTCAACTTTTTAACATTAAATTAAATGTAAACTCATGCTTAAATCAAAAACATTTTGTCAAAAATCAGTAGATAAAAATAAATACTATTTCTCATCAAAAGTCAAACCCAAACTACCCTACTTATCATTACCGTTCCCATCATTTCCTTCCTTCTTTCTCCAACCTCTACCTTTCAACACTTTTCTAAAGCTTTCGTTAAATTTCTTTGCTGCCGCTCCACTTTGATCAGCAATAGCTGATGACGCAATTCCAGAAGCCAAACGTTCCGCTGTAGCTGGCATCACACTATTAAGACCACCCCCGACGGGCGTTGAAAATAATGTTGGAAATGAGCTTGGTAGCGATGGTGTAATGAAAGTTGGCAAGGTGACTGATGACATTATATTTGAGTTTTCTGGTAAATCTGGATGATTCAAAACTCGTTGTTGAAACACATCAATAATTTGTTGTTGTTCAGCTTTCTTTAATCCCTGATTATTATTATTATTAAATATAATAATTTTGTGAAAAGTTTCAGTATGTTTGAAAAAAGATTTTTTGTTAAGGCACCATTCTATATATCGAAATACCTTCAATTCCAATATTTTTTGTAAGTTACCAATATTTTTATCGGCGATTAATAATATATAATTTTCAACAAGACTATCATGTGGGTCGTGAGGTGTAAGAACTGTCTTCAGGATAACTTCAACTTTACTTATTCCCTTGTTAACAATTTTAGTAAACCTATAATATCATTAGAATAAAAATGATGATTAAAAGAATTAGATTAAAGAGTTCCCTCGCAGAATTATGCTGATCTTACGTTGTCGGTGGAGGTGCAGGGTTTTCCATACCCATCGTTGGCATTTCCAGTAACGAGGTCTTCAGAGCATGTACGTCAAGCAACATCTGTTGAAATTAATTTGTCACTGAGGAGAAAATAGATTGCAACAACTTACTCCAAAATATTTTATCTACCTGCTCTGCCCCAACTTCAGAAATTGGTTTGCACTTTAGTAGATTACTAATTAACTTAGAAACAAATGATCTGATATAAAAATGACAAGAGAAAATTATTTAGAAAAAATGATGCGAAACATTGAGAACAGAGATTCACTTACTCCACGAATTTATCGCAAAATGTTCTAAAATAACGATTATTGGTTATATCTTTGTGTATGATAACAACGTTCGACCTTAAGGTGGAGTGGAATAAGGTAACATATCCGGACTGATCACCCACTGAATCCAAGTTATTCCATTGTATTTTCGTCATAGCAATCAGAGCCGGTTCGTAACATGATTCAACTCCGCGAACCAGAGATTTTATAGTTGCAGAAACTACACTGTTGAAAATATATATATTAAGAAATCCAAAAAATATCAAATAAAGTATAGGGAAGAAAAGATGTACTCACTTTAGGAAGCAATTACGTTCAGTATCAAAATTTATGTTCCCCTTATATTCATCATCAATCTTTTCTTTTAACTTTTCTTCAAGCTAAAAGTAGGTATAAAATTGGATGAACACGAAAAGTGATGATAACATAAGAATGATTGATAAAATCAAAAGTAATTACTTGAGATGTTGTGACATAACAATAATCTGCTGTATTGAGAACAAAACACGCCAACTTTAACTCATCACGCGTCATAGCTTTACGCTCTTCTCTTGTTTTAGAGTTTATGGAAATATAAAACAATGTTAAAAATCAAATCAAATGTATGAGCAGAATAATAATAAATTATTGATTTCATGCAAACTTTGGAAGTCGCCCGGTCAGAACCTCATTCGCATATACCCGAAGCCATTTAGCAAACACATTGCACAAGTCAAAGAAGGGTTTTTTGGTGGATAGCCTGGCACAGTTAGTGAGGGTCTCACGATAAAAATAAAATAAATCTGTGCTGGATTGTAAAACCGAGGTTGACGAATCGTCATCAGGAACAGACTCCGTCCGATAAGAGGCAATCATTTCAGATAAATTCCTAGAATTTGTTATTGAAGAAATAATGTGATCTCAGAATTCACAAAATAAAAGATATATTACACATATAACCCACTTGTCCTCAGCGTCGATGTACAAACCAAGGTATGGTTCAAAAGCGACGGAGATACTTTTGGTAAAATTAATTTCCGATGCAGTATTTTCAGCCATTTTCTGATGATCCTGGAATAAAAGGTCTAATATTGACAAGAATATCATTTACGCTATTTATAAAGAATAATTTCACGTACCGCATTTGAAAATCGCTTTACTAATTGACTTTCAAATTCAATAGTCAATTGAAGATTTTTTAATAAAGTTTTGACATCTAACTCATTCTCTGTCTTTG